GCCGCTGGCTGACATAGGAGATCGCTTTGATAGGACCAGAGCAGGTGGAAAAGAGGTAAGTATATATATATATCCTTCTTACACAGGTTAGCCAGCATAAATATGGAACGGGGGTGTGGAAGGGTGGTATTAGCCCAAATTCAACTTTAAGTTGTTCTCCTCATTGTTGGAGATAGGCAATAATGGCTCCACCTGGCTGGAGTTTGCATGTTCTCCCTGTGCCTGCGTGGGTTTCCTCCGGGTACTCCGGTTTCCTCCCACACTTCAAAGACTTGCTGGTAGGTTAATTGGATCCTGTCTAAATTGTCCCTAGTATGTGTATGTATGAATGTGAGTTAGGGACCTTAGATTGTACACCCTTGAGGGTTAGGGACTGATGTGAATGTACAATATATATGTAAAGTGCTGCGTAGATTGACGGCGTTATATAAGTACCTGAAATAAATAAATATAAATAAAATAATAAAGTTGAAAGTGGAACTTGAGGCACAGTTATCAGAGCGCATTCTAATATTGAAGATCAGAAAATGAATAATTCACATCCTTCCTATTACCCTGCAAATACGTTGTCAGAAAAATCACTGCGGCTTCCCAAGAAGAAAACCTGGCTAATGAATATATCCTGTGTTACTCCAACCCAGAGACGGCTCCGCCCTGCGCGTCAGCATGCGGATAAAGTACCACTAATTCTGACGCTTTCTTCTGGCCTCATCTGAAAATGTCAAATTTAGAAGAAGCCTCAAAATAAGGTCAAACAGAACTCCAGATCTTGTATATCTGTGTCCAGGGACGGACTGACCATTTGGAAAATCAGGCACTGCCCGAGGGCCCGGGGTCAGTAGGGGGCGCCATGAGATGCCCCTGGTACCTTTTTCATAGGCTTTTTTGAGTTTGGGCAAGGACACAGGGGCCCCATGATCCCCTATTGCCCGGGGGCCCCATGAGTTGTCAGTCCGCACCTGACTGTGTGTATATATATATTATTACCATCACACTACTATACACCAATTATTATATTATTATTATACAGTATTTATAAAGCGCCAATAGTTCGCTCAGCGCTGTACATTACAAAGGGGGACAGAACATGTGACAGAACAATACCAATACAATGCAAAACATGAGGGGATCGAGGGCCCTGCTCCTTGGAGCTTACAAATCTAGGAGGGAGGGGATGGTGGTACAGGAGGAGATAGCTGTGGGGGATGGGAGTGGTAGGAAGAGTGGAGGAGGTCGGCAGGTTAGCAGGGGGTGGGGTAGGCTTCCCTGAAGAGATGGGTTTTCAGGGTGCGCCTAAAGGAGAGGAGAGTAGGTGATAATCTGATGGGTTGGGGGCAGGGAGTTCCAGAGGATGGGTGACACCCTGGAGAAGTCCTGGAGGCGGGCATGGGAGGAGGAGACCAGGGAACTAGAGAGAAGGAGGATACCTGGTTTCCAGTTTTTACATGACTTTTAAAGGATTTGGATTTTTGTCAATGCGGTCCTGAGATTTACACGGTGTGGCCACAAAGCACAGTCCTGTCTTGCAGGTGAGGAAGCTTACTCGGATTGGCTGAGGTTGTGACATCATCAGCCCACCTCTCTGACTCAGCCAATCCGAGCAGGCTTTGTATTCATTAGTAGAATTCATCACTCGCCGTGATTGGCCCAGTGTACACTGCATGTAGCCGCAGCTCCCGACCATCACGCATCCAGCGGGCTGATTACAGTAGGGACGTACCGGTACGTTTTGAAACCGCTTGGCTCAGCGCAGTACACTGGATATACCGCACATCCAGCGGGCTGACAGATTAATCTGTTATAGGGACATTTGTTTTGAGCCAGCTTGGCTCAGCGCGGTATACTGTATGTACATTGTATGTAGGCAGGTTAGTGAGCGCACTCCCGTAAGCAGCAAATGCACTAAAAAAGAACTACAGAGCCTTTCCAACTGGAATTGACAAAATAAAAGTGCAGCGCTACAAACAGTATCCTTATAACAATTAAATCGAAGTGACTGGTAAACAGAGAAATTGTCCAATGACTAGAAAAAAAAATAATAATAATTGTCCAATGCAATAGTGTCAGATGTGGTAATCAGTTCAATTATGGAAAAACTTCCAAAAAATGCTGGTGTAATCCAATCAATATCGAGGAGTAGGTAGATTGCCCACTTACCAGAAGCGCAATCTCAATGCGCATATGCAGGTCACATGTGGCCGAGGTCTCATGTAGGCGCTGCTTGGTAGTACCCTGGTAGTCCCTCAGTGGTAAGGAGATGTTGGTCTGGTCGGATCACACTGCTCCTTGGATCCACACAGAAGCCTAAAATGCTGGGGCTGAGGTATGGGGGCTCAGTGCCAGCTATGAGAAGTAAAAATGCTCATAGTGTAGTCATTTTGAAAAATTTATTAAATCCAATGTATAAAAACACATGCCTGCAGCCTGTAGCCAGATAAAGCGGCTGTGAAAAAAACATCCAAAAAACACTGACCAGTGAAATTCAAGGGTTGGCCGCCGGACCTTTGCTGATCCGGCGGCGTGACGTCAAGGCGTGCGAAGGCTCCTCCTAGACGCGTTTCGTGTCAATACACGTCTACAGTAGGGGTGATGCATTACTGCACATCCAGCCAGCTTGACCCAAACAAACTCAAGGTTCAACATTTTATACCCCGCGTATAAGACGACCCCCCCCCCCAATTTTTGGGGTATATTTTTAAGTATAAAAAGTATTCTTATACGCCAGAAAATACTGTATATTAAATTCAAAAAGAAAACAGGCCACTTTACCAAAAATGGGGTCCTTGATTGTACTAAGCGCTCTCTCGGGATTGGCCCCTTTATAGAAACAATAACTGCCAATGACCTGCTCAACAATTAGCCCCTAAAGCAACATATCTATGTGCCTGGAGCCACACAGAAAGGAGGACAGTGGACACAGGGCAGTATATAAAGTGCCTGGTTACTAGGAAGAAATAATCAGCACAAGCAAACAGCTGCTTACTGCTACCATCATATCACTGCTAAAACACATAAAAGGCATCATAAACAGCCAACTAAAACCGGATATTATTTTCACTGCATTTTACATATTGTAAAAAAGGATCTCATCCCACAGCCGTGTTCAAGTAAAGCTGCTGATGACAAGACAACGGGTGGATTAACCAAGACACGGAATCTTCACTGACATAATCTGAACATAAACAGTTCTCATGTCCTATCAATCAATATACGGTCAAATCAATCCATTCACAGGAACGGCTTGTCATCAGAACTTTCCAGAGTTTACAAAAGTGATCAATAAGGGCGGCACAGTAGCTAAATGGTTAGCACTTCCGCCTGGCAGTACTAGGGTTGTTGGTTCAAATCCCAGCCACGGCACCACCCTGCCTGGAGTTTGCATGTTCTCCCTGTGACTGCATGTGTTTCCTCCTGGTAACTCCAGTTTCCTCCCACACTCCAAAGACATGCTGGTAGGTGAATTGGCTCCGATCTAAATTGTCCCTAGTATGTGTATGTATGAATGTGAGTTAGGGACCTTAGATTGTACGCCCCTTGAGGGTTAGGGACTGATGTGAATGTACAATATATATGTAAAGTGCTGCGTACATTGATGGTGCTATATAAGTACCTGAAATAAATAAATAATAACGGAGTTTGGTTGCAGAACGATGCTGATATACTCTGTAAAGGGCTAGCTGCTCGGCGGTTATTGACGACCCACTGACTACCATGGAACACGACTGCAAAATAGGAATGTTCTTATCCCATGACAGTGAAGCTGAAGTTTAATGTCTACATATAACGATCCATGCACACTGGCGGTTTTTTTTTTTCTTTTTAAGATAAAAAAACACTGCATAGAAAAAACCACTGGTAATAGCATTTTTTTTAGGAGCGTTTTCATAGTACATATGGAAAAAAAAAGCTGTTGGTTTCTTCTGCTGCTTAAATGCAGTGTAGTTTTGCTTTAAAGCGGAGCTCCACCCAAAAGGGGAAGTTCCACTTAAGGACTGCTCCCCCTCTCCCCATTAAGGATTGGCACCTTTGGGGGGCGGGGGGGAGCGGGTACCCTAATTTGACAGGTACCTGCTCCCACTTCCGGTCGGATCACCTAGGCCAGGGGTAGGCAACCTGCGGCTCTTTAGCTGTTGCAGAACTACAAGTTCCATCTTGCCTTTGCAAGTCATAGCTGTAACTGTCAGTTTTGTAATGTTGCAAATGCCTCATGGGAAATGTAGTTCCACAACAGCTAGAGAGCCGCAGGTTGCCTACCCCTGGCCTAGGCGATCGGTAACGGAAGGTGTCCTCCCTCCCTGTAGTCTTTTGGGACACGTGACAGGTCCCAGAAGATTACAGGACCATTTATGAAGCAGAGCGCTGCTCGCGCATGCGCAGTGGGTACCCGGCTGTGAAGCCGCAAGCTGTCACAGCCAGGTGCCCACACTGAAGATGCCAGCCTCCTGAAATACAGGACAGCCGGTGAAACGGGCTGCGGGGGACACACCGCGGGACAGGTAGTTGGCCTGGTTTTTATTTTTTGACAGGGTGAGTGGAACTCCGCTTTAAGCATGCACATCTAAAGGGATGCCGGGAATGTGTTCTTTGGTCACTCGGTTCTCAGTCTTAGAGACGGCGAGGGACAGATGCAGCATCCACCTTGGTGAGTATGATTGTTTTATTGTTTTTTTTTGTGAAAGCCCACACTTCTCTTTTATTACAATTGTAGAAAAAAAAGGCAAGGCTGGAATTCAAACTTTAAAGTGTTGAAGTCATAAAGGTTGACATGTTGGTCCTTGTACACACAGATGGGTTGAGGCTGAATAAAAATGCACTGAAGCATCCGGAAACGCGAGGAGGCGTGGTGCACATGTACGTGTGCATACAACATATTCCTGAATGTGCAAATTCTTGCTCTAGGGGTTGTACGATACCTCTTGTTATGGACCACCTGGTGTACTCTAGCAGTCCACAGGACAGGATTCCCCAGGGCGCGGAGTCTAAGCCCCAGTCCGCTTGTTCACCAGAGCCCCTGATGGTGGGGATGGGCTTGGAGCGGACAGTGACCAGGTCGCGGCCCCCTGAGTATACCCACCTGAGGTAGAGGAATCACCAGAGGTAATGACAGGTAGAGAGCCTGATGTGAAGAGGCAGGCAGGTGTGGAGAGTAGCAGCTAATCCGTGCGGGTCGGATGGATGGCTGAGCAATAGCGTGGTCAAACGGGCCAGGTCGGTAACAGAAGGGTCAGCGTAGTACAAGGCAGCTGGCAGAAAAATAGTCAGGTCACTCGCCGGGGGTCGGTACCAAGTAGTTCAGATCAGGTAGGGATATCCAAAAGAGAGATCGAACTTAGCCAGGGGTCAGAGCAGGAGAAGTCAGCAGGGGTCAGGTCCAGGAGATCAACAACGAATCTCAAACAACAGCAATACAGGAACACAGGAACAAGATCAGACCATACGGCAACTTGTGTCTTTGCTGGGCTGGTTAAGTAGCCCGCCCTGCACCTGACAGGTGCAGCCTAGGTCCTAGTGCCTGCCCAGCACCATCATAGGCGACGGGTGCAAAAAATGGAAATATTGTGTACAAGCGCACCTAAAAAATGTTAATATAGCAGCTGTACACCAGGTAACCATAAACCCATAAAACAATACAAATCAATTGATGCAGCGCTGGACAAGAGGTATTATAAATATATGAATAAAATAGATAAATAAATAAATAATAAAAAATGAACAGTTCATATGGTGGTGTCAAGGTGACTTTAGGTGCTCTTATCTATTCCTATTTCTCCAGGTGACAGGATACTGTGCGATATAGTGCAGAAGGAATGCACACTCACCAGAACGCACAGTTTAATGAGCGTTTGTATATATATATATACTGATCCCTTGAGGTCATCAACTGGTCAAGATGGGGTTTGAAATCCAATGGTCTCCCTCTCAATACTACTGAGTATGCTGTTTAGGACATCAGGGTGA